GATCTCGACCATTTACAAGATATTAGAACTTTCTCAAATGGCAAGGGGTGGGGGTGACCGCTGGGGACTAACCCTGTATAACATTTGATGTGCTTTATCATGACAAACCAGAATATATATGGTTTAGGGGTGGGGATCTCGACCATTTACAAGATATTAGAACTTTCTCAAATGGCAGGGGGTCGGGATGACCCCTGGGGACTTACCCTGTATATCATTCAAACCATCTCAGCATGACAAACCAGAATATATATGGTTTAGGGGTGGGGATCTTGACCACTTAGAAGATATAAGAACTTTCTTAAATGGCAGGGGGTGGGGGTGACCCCTGGGGACTTACCCTGTATAACATTTGATGTGCTTTATCATGACAAACCAGAATATATATGGTTTAGGGGTGGGGATCTCAACCATTTACAAGATATTAGAACTTTCTAAAATGGCAGGGGGTCGGGATGACCCCTGGGGACTAACCCTGTATATCATTCAAACCATCTTAGCATGACAAACCAGAATATATATGGTTTAGGGGTGGGGATCTTGACAACTTAGAAGATATTAGAACTTTCTTAAATGGCAGGGGGTGGGGGTGACCCTTGGGGACTAACCCTGTATTACATTTGATGTGCTTTATCATGACAAACCAGAATATATATGGTTTAGGGGTGGGGATCTCGACCATTTACAAGATATTAGAACTTTCTCAAATGACAGGGGGTGGGGATGACCCCTGGGGACTAACCCTGTATATCATTCAAACCATCTTAGCATGACAAACCAGAATATATATGGTTTAGGGGTGGGGATCTTGACAACTTAGAAGATATTAGAACTTTCTTAAATGGCAGGGGGTGGGGGTGACCCCTGGGGACTAACCCTGTATTACATTTGATGTGCTTTATCATGACAAACCAGAATATATATGGTTTAGGGGTGGGGATCTCGACCATTTACAAGACATTAGAACTTTCTCAAATGACAGGGGGTGGGGATGACCCCTGGGGACTAACCCTGTATATCATTCAAACCATCTTAGCATGACAAACCAGAATATATATGGTTTAGGGGTGGGGATCTTGACCACTTACAAGGTATTAGAACTTTCTTAAATGGCAGGGGGTGGGGGTGACCCCTGGGGACTAACCCTGTATTTCATTTAATGGGCTTTACCATTTAGAACATTTTCAATTAAAAAGTTTGTGTCTATCACGAACGGTTTTCAATTTATAATCATTTGAAAATTTAAAAAAATAAAATCCCATAGGGTTCTATAGTAAAACCCTCTTTTCTTTTTGCCCCTCAAAGTACCCCTTTATAAACCCCATTGCAAAAACAAAACCCTGATTGCACCACTAGACATGTTAGTCTAACATATTGTGAAACCCTAAGTTAATCCGACAAGCGGTTTTGGAGAACAGGTGCGGACAAGTTCAAATTTAAAAGCGGCGGAAGAAGAAGAAGAAGAAGAAGAAGAAGAAGAAGAAGAAGAAGAATAATAATAATAATAAGAACTGAGCAAAAACAATAAGTCTTCCCAAACTTCGTTTGGGAGACTTAATTAACAAAAATTGAATACATGAATTAGCTTTTATTCACCAACTACCCCCTTCACCAAAGTCCCTCTAAACCACAGTTTTTCCAAGACTTACAAAATGTTCTTTACACCAGCAAACGTATTTGTATTGATGCATCCTAATCATTAAGTAAAAGAAAACATGTTTTTGTATTTTAGGCTAGTTTGTGAGAATACACATGTGTATGTATGTGTATAGTTATTTATTTAGTTTGATCTTGGCCATGGTTGTCTATTAAATTTTTGGCAACAGATGCCCTTTATCTGAATTTTCTTTTAGCTCTAATGTCATTCACAGTATATGGGAGGTTTGAAATAAAACTGTACCCTTTTGTTTTTGTTGTTTTGCACAACATTTATATGACAATGAGGTCAAGGTCAGACAAATCATGTCAGACATACAAAACAGGCCAAAACATAAAACTTAAAATTGACCAAAGAACCATGAAAATGATGTCAAGGTCAGATGATACCTGCCAGACAGACGTGCACCTTACAATTATTCCATACACCAAATATTGCTGACCTATTGCTATTAGTATTTGAAAAACAGATCAAAACACAAAAACTTGACATTGACCATTGAACCATAAATATGAGGTCAAGGTCGGATGATACCTGCCAGACAGACATGTACACCTTTGATCATTCCATACACCAAATATAGTTGACCTATTGCTTATAGTACTTGAAAAACAGACCAAAACACAAAAACTTAACATTGACCAATGAACTATGAAAATGAGGTCAAGGTCAGATGAAACCTGCCAGACTGACATGTACCCAATACAATTATTCCATACACCAAATATAGTTGACCTACTGATTATAGTTTTTGAGAAACGGACCTAATCATGTAACTTTAACCTTGATCACTGATCCATGAAATGAGGTCAAGGTCAGGAGAACTCTGTCTGAAGGACATAGACGATGCAAGGAACCCATATACCAAATATACTGCTTGAAAAAAAAATTGATTTTTTTTTTTTTTCAAGCAGTCGCTCTACCATGAAAATGAGGTCAAGGACAATGGACATATGATTGAAGGAAACTTCGTAACTTAAGGTATCTGCATACAAGATATGACGCATCCAGGTCTTCTACCTTCTGAAATATAAAGCTTTATACAAATAGTTTATGCTGCCGCCGGATAGTAATACCTATGTCTCGCATATAACGTCGCAGGCGAGACAAAAATAGCATGTTTCCAGTTACAAACATTAAAAATGTCAGGGGTTGTCACCTTACACAAATAATGAATTACGTAACATTAATACAGTGGACTCTTGCAGGGTTTGACAGTAACTGTTGTCCGAATGCCAGGGACAAGTGAAAGTTCACATTTGGACAATGAAAAGCTGCAATGCACTAAGTCTAGTCTGGACAAATGTTCTCTAACTATATATATATATTAAAATAGAAATACGGAATCTATAATCTCTAATAAAAACTGTCTCTTTATCATTTATCAAAGTCCATCTTCAAAGCCCACACTGATGAGTCACCTATTGATGGCAGTTTAGCATATTTTCTCCTTCAAATTACACATCAATTGAAAATACTGGCTTATCAGAATATGATTTATTTATATACTTATATATATAATTATATTTAAGCACACCAGTCAGATCTTTCAAATTTTTATGGCTAATCTATTCATAGTTACATTTGTAGCTAGGAATTTCGAATCATGATTGAGAAAAAATATTGCTAATTTTCAATTACTGTTGAAACATCTAGATGGATTAAAAGTTTAAAAGGTACACCTTTTTCTTTAAAACAAAATATTAATGAAGGTACATGTATGTCCATATTAAAGAATTGTGTGCATGGCGATCCCTTTCTTACAGATCATATATAGAAATGGGTCAACAATGGAATATACAAGATGTAACAAATTTTTGTAATACATGTACATGAAAAAGGTTTAATATAGCACTCTCTACAAGGAATAGTTGTCTTAATTTTATGCTGACTTTTTGGCATTACTGATGCAATCAAAATTAGGACAATCAGTTTTACAAAATATATCTCTCAGACCGGAAAAAATTTGTTGACACTTGTCAAAAGGAAGATGATAGGTTATAAAAAGTTTGTCAAACGTTGTGACAGTCTGTTTTACCTTTAACTGAAGATGACAGATAAAAGTTTATGTCAAACGTTGTGACAGTCTGTTTTTGTTTTACCTTTAACTGAAGATGACAGATAAAAGTTTATGTCAAACCTTGTGACAGTCTGTTTTACCTTAAAATAACATGATTGTATTATATACATTACATGTACATGAATTGTGTCTTAAACTTACAGTGATATGAGAGTTTTTGTGCACCTTGTTGAAGGCCTCACTGTTACTTTGAGATGAAGAACAACAATAAAAGCACTATTCCTTTGCTTTTTGTGTGTTTTTTGCTGTCAATGTACATGTACTGATTTTGGTTTTTTTTTCATGAAAGGATACCCATATGCTTTGTTTTTCTATTAGATTCAAATCAGATCTTATGAAATGCTATGTATATCTGGATTTATCATATTATAAACAGTGTGCTTTCTCACTGGTTCTGCAATGTGTAATTGTTATTCTAGATTAAATTCTACAAGTAAAATTGAATTGTATGCATTTGATTGTCCAAAAAAATATTAAATTAGCTGCATGCACACCGACATTGCATTTGCATTCACACTGTACTCAAATTCATGTAAGATGTTAATTGAAATCAGGTGTCAAACTACCTACATTTACCTCAAGTGGATTGACTCCAGATTCACAAATTACTCATTTAATCTGAAATATGTGTGAACGCAAACCAGTAATATTTACAATCTGATTTTGTTGAGTCGTACGCGTGTGACAGGGTATTATACTGAGCATTTTCTTATCATCTTTAAGTTTCTGATACAGTCTTAATAATTTTTAAATGTTTCATTTAATTTTTTCAAGTAAAAGTACATATACATGTATGTAGGTTGTTTGGGATAAGGACTTGAAATGAGCTAAATTCGGATTGTTTCTTTCCTATCTACTAAAAAAATTCATGACTTACAATGTACAATGTACATGAAATGTACCGAACACATTTTGTAGATATTTTTGGAAAGTTCTGAACACTTTCCTTTACAGTATAGGTAAAATTATTTTACTTAGTTACCTACCCTATATGCTTCTGTATGGAGACAGGAACCAACTATGTATTTATTTTGACCTAACTCAAAGCATGCTTCAACATGTACCGACAGCTTGTATATATACATGTATAATTACGGGGACATACACATGTACAAATGTAGCAAACTGGGTAAGGGATTGACAACTCAATTCATTATCTTACGTTCTTTTACTTCAAGTATGATTCCATCCATTATCAAATGTACCTTGTATAAACTATAAATGCATCAATGTGAGAAGTTTACTTGATTTAAAAATAATTACCAGATTCTTGCAAATATCTGTACACCAAAAAATTCACTTCGTCACTGCTAAAGCTCATGACTTGTTACTTTTTACTGTCTTTAAATAAGAGTCATTTACTGCAGACCTTTACCTAAAGCAAAAGGAATTTCATGTATAAAACAGACTATAGAAGATGAAATATGTGGAACAGACTATAAATAGCTTGGCCTATCATCACAAAGCTCATTATAGAAATAGACTATAATCTCCTTTAATACAGAAATGAAAACTGAATGTTTTCGTTTCAAAATTGCTCATGTCATTGCACCAAATTCAAAATAGATCCCGCAATCTTTCAAATTTTGTGTTCTTAAACAAAACCTTTCTATTTACCATTGACGATGCTGTGTCGTGCAGAAAAGATATCGACATAACAAAAATCAATTTAGCAACAAGATAAACAGTCAAGTATATATCTAATGGAGATTAAAACAACTTACCATCAAATTTTAAAACAACGAATCCGACTGTCAAATGAAATATGCACATCCGAGCGCAAAGTCAATAAATATGTTTTGTGAAACAGACTCTATTTCAAAGGATTGCAAATAAAATATTATAATGAACAGTACTCCTTAAATTAACAACCAAAACGTAATGTTTATCGAGTTCTGTCGATAAAGATGAATGTAAAATTAATATAGACAATAAACCACACTTAAATTACTCCTGAAACAAGAAAATTGTCTCCGGTGTATTCCATTGAATTTCCTCGATCATCGAAGTATGCCGACAAATGCGGAAGGATAAGAGTTCTACTTTTCTATGAATAGTGCGAGATCAACATAAAAAGAAATCTCATATGTTTCATTTAATCTGGCTTATACTTCATTGTTCATACATTTCAAATTTCTGATGATTTCTTTATAATTGGAAAAATACTGCATATTACGTAGAATCAAATAAAAATCGGTTACATTTCTTCTGCGGAAGCTTCTAATATTTTGCATACTACTAGGCGCTTTACTGCTGTATATATGAATGACGTAAGCCCGGACTTGACCCATTCAACCGGGGTTTACAAGATAAAATATTAGCCCTTGATGATATCTTTGGAAATGTATCGAACAAAAATCTGACATCATATGTTAATCATAAATTTTAACAACTTATATCAGACTAGAGTGTTGTTTTATTACAATATACTTAAAGCCACAACGGAGCTAAAATATATTTTCACCTATAAATCATATGCAACATTCTAAAGGGCTAAGTTAGGAAATTTTTAAGTTCTATTTTGGGAACTAATGCAATAGAATATGATTTTTACCAAATAAAGTTGTCAATTAACACAAGACATTGACATTGTTCTTAATCAAATATCGTTTAAATTAAGGTATATTCTAAAGTGATGAAAGGAATATGTGTCACCCTACTCAAACCTTTTGACCCATTTAAGTTACAAACGTGACTCTTTGACCTAAAAGAAGACAAACAACCTACTATGCACTGAAAAGTAAACATATATAAAACGCCATTCTTAATTTTTCGCGATTTGCTAAGATTACCAGTACCGTTATTCATAATAAATACATTGCCATAAAAAAAAAAAGAATTACAATAGAGAGCGCTCAACATTTATTTTCGAATAGAGGACCCACGACGGGAAAATCTATTTTTTTTAAGATTAGATACTTACACATTACCTGAGACTACTATTAAAAATAGTCATAGATGTTACAAATGAATTATAAAAATAGCTCAGTCATCTAATAAACAACGTCAGATATTGAGTTAATATGCATCATAGTATTGATATTCTAATCATTAGCAGGGGCGGATCCAGGATTTTGGAAAAGGGGGGGGCGTAGTATTAAAGTTCACCGAGCGGAGCGAGGCGAAAAATTTTTTTGACCTTTTTTTGGCTAAAAAACATAAAATAAGTGTAAAATGCATTTTATAGTTAAAGTGTAGGGATTGGACATTTTTGGTGCCGTATTCTCTCCATCAAATGTCTATTATGAAATGATTGGATGGATCCAAAGCTATGTACTAATTAATATATTTGATGTGGGATTTGTCAGTAAAAAATGGACATGGAAAATTCTCGTTTGTTGTATGGTTAGTTAGCATAACCTCACAGATTTCTTGTAGGTAACAAGATATACGGCTATTCAATGAAATTTACAATACGACCGACACGAAGAAAGACAAACAAGCAATTTTCATCCAAATGTTTGGTTGAAATGTTTCACCCAACAAGGGAAGTGAGGGGTTCCAAATCAACCAAAGGCTACGAATGAGTCGGAAATGATCTGACAATGAAGTTGTGAATGACGGTCGACACATGGATACATATAGGCCACACCCAGCAGGCAGGTTGCAGTTGGGCCTTGAAAAAAGTATTCAGTATATCAGTTCGGCGAAACAGACATTCCGGTCAGATATGGGATTCACATGCAACCCCCCCCCCCAAAAAAACAAAAAAAATATGCCCCTTTTTTATTCATCATGTTCATTTAATGCTAAATAATTCTGTTGAAAATATTTTTTTCTAATAGCAAAAGGGGACAAGATTATTGCTCAGACTGCCCCCTCAGATCAAATGGTCCGTGCCTTAGACTTTAAATCTATATCTAGAGCTTACTGACTGGGGATCACTATTCAGCAATGTTATTAATGGACTGGAGCGTGTGGGGTTAAACATGTTTTCGTAGGTAAATAATATTGCTGTGGAACTTTTTTTTTTCATGAGTGTGTAATAGAGTATTACTTTCTGTTGGGTGGAATTGTGAAATAGAAGTCAATACGTTCTTGCTCAATACTTTGTCGCTTTGAAGGAGTCATGCTTGTCATCCTCAGCCTAAGCAATGTGTTACTGTAATTTGAATTTCAAAATGACTGAGTGACGTTTTTTTTCGACGAACTGGTCAACTCCACTGTAGAGAATCACATGACTTTGACATAATCAATAATATATTACAGTAAATACGAGCGAAAAATATCTTTATAAGTAAAGAATTGGCGCATAAAAATTAAATACACGGGAAATGGCAAAGTTCACGAAGTCTAGTCTGATTAATCATTTTACGAAAAAAAAAAAAAGTGCAAGCAAAGGGGGGGCGTACGCCCTCTACGCCCCCCCTCTGGATCCGCCACTGATTAGTGACCATGTACAAGAAGTAGCATGTAAAAAAAGCCGGAAAGAAAATACCGAAGGGACAATAAAAGAATAACCGAAGAAAAACTGACATCATTGGCCAAATAAAAATAAGACTTGCAGACAACAACAAAAAAAAAAACAAAGAAAACAGTCCACATGATAATAAACAGAAAACTTAAAAATCGCGGGCGAGCAACATGAAAAAGGGAGGCGAAAGATACCAAAGGGATATTTAAACTCATTAGTCGAAAACAAACTGACCATGCCATGGCACAAAACAAAACAAAATAAAACGACGAAAAGACAAACAGTACACTAAACACAACATAGAAAACCGTAGGATTGAGCAACATGAACCCCACCAAAAACCGGGGGGTGATCTCAAGTGCTCAGGAAGGGTAAGCAGATCCTGCTCCACATGTGGCAACCGTCGTGTTGCACGTGTAAGTACAAATCCGGGGATAATTCTAATTCGGTAGGTCACATTCGAGGAAAAGAGGACGGCAATAAAGTTACGACAATTGGAACATATCCGTCATCATCTGTGAAACAGATGTTTCATAACCAACTCGGGATGGCGTCCGTAAAATTTTCGAAGGGATTACTTCAACTTCACCACTTGGAAATCTTGGTTCAATAGCTTCCTTGTAAACAACAACCCCTATCAAGGAAATCATGATAGGAAATGCAAGCTCTGAAATATCGTATCAACTGGGAGATATATACTCTAGTGCTGCTGGAATGTTGCTACACATATATGGAAAGTTCACAATTGGGAAGCTGAAATCATCTCTTATATCGTAAAGTTTTGTTCTCAACCGACCTCCATTGTCAATTTCTAGATGCAAGTCAAGATATGAGGGTGACTTAACCGTATATATCTGTTGTATCCTTTATTTCAAGTTTGATGGAATAGATGCGAAACCCGCCATTAACAGGGGGACTCCGTTTCTCCGGAGGGTGCTTGTAAGATTTGTGTAGGGTTCGGAAGAACAACAATCTGTCATTTTAGTTCGTTAGAGTTTAAATTACATTTTCTTAACTGAACCTTATGGCTTGATCACTGCGTCAGTCATTTAACTTATCACATTTCGCCATCTCCTATGAAGGGCTCAATTTGAAAAAATATAAACAACCGTTCAGACGATTAAATGCGCATGGACGTCTCTGAAAAAAATGTCAACAAATTAAATTTAAAGGTTTATTGTAATATGAAAATAAGGAGATGTGGGATGATTGCCAATGAGACAATTATCCACCAAAGTTCAAATGAAGTGGATGTAAGCATAATATACTCTCAGGCACATCATATGTACTGCAAGATGAACATGATTACAATATTCTAACAACTAATTAAAGATGTTGCAAACAGTTAAATACGTTAAGGTGGTAATTTTTAACGAAATTCATGGCCAACCGAGCAATTTCTTGATTCCGATTGCTTTTAGTTTTTCCAAAAGTACTTGGCAAAATATATCAATCGTAATTTGATGATTTAGACCTGCTACACAGATCCGAGATTTCGTGCTGTTACATAGGTACCCATTAACTCTTTTGAAATAAACTTTTGTACGCCAGACGCGCGTTTCGTCTACAAAAGACTCATCAGTGACGCTCGAATAAAAAAAATAAAAAGACTCAGAGGCGGATCCAGGATTTTAGGTAAGGGGGCGCAAACTTAAATTTTCGCCGAGCAGAGCGAGCCGAAAATTTTATTGAGGTAAACCATCGAAATATTCTTTATTAAGCTGAGAATAACACATGCTTTGCAAATTTTAGGGGACGCACGCCCCCCACGCCCCCGCCTGAATCCGCCCCTGAGGCTGAATAAAGCTGAAGAGCATTTTTAAGACCCGAAATTCCGAAAGATTTTGCCAAATGCAGCCAAGAAAATCGCAGTTTAATCTTAGAAATCTTTCTTAAACAACATAACAAACCTTTACAAAAGTTGACATGAATAAATTAATATGTGAAAGGTCCTCAGTAACATTTTTGATCTTGCTCGGAGACTGCCAATAGGTAATTCTTGATTTTAATACGCGTCAATTATGAACAATGTATTTGATTCTATCATGAATTTAACACAAGCTTTTATAATTTATTTAGAGATAGTCTATTTCTTGAATATTTTGAATTGTCTTTGTTCAAGCATATAAATCAGCCAACAACGCTGTCACTATTGCCAAAAGTACGAAACCGAGGTTTCCAAAATTAAGTCGCAATTAACGTTTATTTCCTATTACTACGGAATAAAATATATTGAATGAACAGACTTTACTAACGACGGAACTGAATGATGCTACTTAATTCCACAATATTCCCACCTATACATTGACTTTTTTAATTTTACCAGAAACCATACAATCTGCACCCAGTACACGTTCAACTACAAATCATTCTAATCGATGCTTTCAAAACCGTCAATGGAATGCATATACGAAATAATGGGTGCTTCGATGAAATTGGTGGAGCCATTTAAAAAATATACTAGATTAGTCGATAAAATCAATACTTCTGTTAATGTAACTTTATTTTAAGAACGTGTCTTTTGTGAACATCATATGGTGATAAAAAGCTGACATGATGCGCATACATTCATAGTGTGGACTCAAAACGATATTGTATCTGACTCTGAAAATTTTATGAAATTCATTAT